TGGCTGATTCATTGGAAGAGATCCATATTTGTGCCCATTCCAAAGAGAGGTGACCCAATGGAATGTGGAAATCATCAGACAATCTCTTTGATATCCCATGCGAGTAAAGTTTTACTAAAGGTAATACAGAAACGACTACAATCATACATTGACAGAGAAATTCCAGAGGTTCAAGCTGGATTCAGAAGAGGACATGGAACGAGGGATATCATTGCTCATGTTCAATGTATCTTGGCTGAAAGCAGAGAATATCAGAAAGATGTTTACCTGTACTTTATTGACTATGCAAAGGCTTTCAATTGTGTGGATCATGACAACTCTGGACATCATTGTGAAGTATGACTATTCCGGAACACTTATTTGTGCTCATGAGGAATCTGTACATGGACCAAGAGGCAGTTGTTTGAACAGAGCATAGGAACACTGAATGGTTTATAATCAAGAAAGGTGAGCGACAGGGTTGTATTCTTTCACCATACTTATTCAACCTGTATTCAATCATCTGAGAAGCTGGGTTATATGAAGAAAAATGTAACATCATGATTGAGGAAGACTCATTAACAACCTACGATATGCAGATGATACAACCCTGCTTGCTGAAAGTGAAGAGAACTTAAAACATTTACTGATGAAGATCAAAGAGCAGAGCCTTCGGTATGGATTACACCTCAATGTAAAGAAAACAAAAAATCCTCACCACTAGACCAATAAGCAACATTCTTATCAATGGAGAAAATATTGAAGTTGTCAGATTTAATTCTTCTTGGATCAACTATCAACACTCACAGGAGCAGCAGTCAAGAAATCACCTGATGAAATGCATTAGGCAAATCTGCTGTACAAGACTTTTCTGAAGTGTTGAAGAGCAAAGATGTCATCTTGAGGACTAAAGTGCACCTTACCCCAGCCATGGTATTTTCAATAATGTCATATGCATGTGAAAGCTAGACAGTAAATAAGGAAGACCGTAGAAGAATTCACACATTTGAGTGATGGTGTTGGAGGAGAATATTGAAAGTGCCATGGCTGCCAAAAGAATAAACAGATCCGTGTTGGAAGAAGTGCAGCCAGGGTGCTCCTTGGAGGCCAAGATGGCCAAACTTCATCTCTCATACTTCGAACATATTGTCAGGAGGGAGCAGTCGCTGGAGAAGGATATCATTTTTGGTTAGGTGGAGGGTCAGAGAAAAAGAAGAAGACCCCCAACAAGATGGATTGGCCAGGTGGCAGCATCAACGGACTCAAGCGTGGCAAAAGTAGTGAGGTTAGTTCAGGATCAGGCAGTGTTTCATTCTGTTGTGTATAGGGTCATTATGAGTTGGTACTGACTTGATGGCACCTAACAACAACAAGTAAATAGTGATAATGTGACCCACTGCATTTCCTCAGATTATTAGTGCAAGGATCAAGAATCTTGATCAATGTAGATTATAGGGAAATTACAGTATTACTGGATAAATTTAACTTTAAATATTGACAAATTAATTGTCTGTGTCTTTATATAATTTTCAGGGGCAACATATATTTTTTTTCACTGCCAGAATAACCTTTCCTTTAGAGCATTAATGACCCTCAATATTTATTTGTTTAATAGCAAACAACTAGGTTTGTTCTCTTGCATTAGCCAATTTATAAAATTGGTTGTTGTTGTTGTCAAGGGCCATTGAATAAGTCCCAACTCATAGGGATCCTGTGTAGGGTTTCAGAGGCATTGCTGGTGGGTTTGAACTGACATAAAAAATCCATTATTTTATTAAATGGTCTTGACATTGAATAAGCCATCTTGTCAGTAGGTTATGGGACAGTCTTGTTTAGATAATCATATATGTCATGTATCAGGGCAATTTTTGTTCCAAATAAATGGTGATTTAATATGTTAAGCTTTAAAGAGCTAAACTACTGAATTATCATCCAAAATATTGTTCAGGAAATCATTAATCATTTTAAATAAGAGATAAACAATAACATTTTATGGTAGAGAGGCAGTGATTTTGTGTTAATTAACTAGACAACCAAATAGAATACTATTCCTTATTTTGTATTAAGGACAAATGTATTTTACCAATAAATATTGCAAATTAAGTAGCTGTGTTAAGTTATTTGGAATAAACAATAAATCATTGACAATCATTCATATATCAAAATTTTCCAAATGAATTTTTCTTTTATACTTGCCAGGAACTGAATTCTTTTAAGTTTAGTCAATTTAAGATGTTTACCAAACCATTCTGATCATTAAATTTTTGAGAACATTTCCATTATAAAGCACATACTTTTAGGAATGATATGGGGATTTCAAAAATTTGTGGAGAACTGAATGATAAGATAATGATGTTTTTCCACAAACTCTTCCTCATATTTATATGAAATGTGAGGCTCCCAAATTCCTACCAAATATTAAGCTTAGAATAAATACATTTGAATATGAGAATACACAAAGTTTCAAAAGAAGTTTGGCAGTTTGTCCAATATTTTTGTTCACCTATTAAAATTTAATCCAGATGTAATGTTGCCATTGATTTCTACATAATCATGTAGTATTTACATTTATACTGTTTATTATCTTTAAATACTTTTAAAAAAAGTGTTTGGAATAAAATCATACATTTAACTATAAGACATGAAAAAATTAAACAATGAAAACGTTTTCAAGACTAATTCAATTTTAAATATTCCCAGGGAATATTATTTATATACTTATACATGAAGAATAAATATATGAATTAAAAATATTTTAAACATGAAAACAAAGGCATAATACTTCCTTAATTATATAGGAATGCACATACTGTTGCTTAAGATATGATCCACATACCTGACAGGCAATGTTCTGTCTCCTTTCCTCCTATCCATTTCTCTTTGGGGAACAGGATACCAGCGGAAATTCAGTTTCCAGTTAAAACCCCCATAAGTCATGTCTGACCCAGCCATGTATTCAAAGGTATCATCACTAATCACATCGATGATAGGACATACAACTGTTTTCCTACAGAAAAATTAAAACCAGCTTACATATAAATGATGAATTATACATTAGCTTCTTTAAAATACAGTTGAGATGTTGAAATTTAATTACTTTGTGATTTTACTGACTTATTTTCATTTTGTTGTTTTTCTCTATGGAATTATTTCCTTTGCCTACAACTTCCTTACAATCTACTTTATACTATCATATGTAATCTAATCAAAGGCACTAATTGACTTTCAAGCTGATTTCCAAATGTGTTCTAAGTACGAACTCAGCAGGATGAGCATGGTCTGTTTTTCATAAAACCTCCATCCACAGCATGATTAGTAGAGTTGCTTTGAGATTATGCATCATTTTAGGTATAACCCACTGAAAATCAATATCATGCAGGGAGGAGAGAATGGTTGATGGCAAATTAGATCCAGTAGTTTGCATAGCAAATTGAGTAAGATAGTTTAAAGAGATAGTTCTAAAAATATCTTCATAAAGAAAAATCAAAGAAACAAGCAACGCCAGCAATAAAATCATGACTTATCAGTATGAATCACATCTTTCCAATGAATGATATGGATTATATCTCAACATAAACAAAAAACCAAAAATCCTTACAACTGGACCAATAAGTAACAACATGATAAGCACACAAAATATGGAAGTTTCCAAGGATTTCATTTTGGTTGGACCCATAATCAACACTTATGGAAGCATCAGTCAAGTAATCAAATGGCATATTATATTGGGGAAATCTGCTGCAAAACATCTCTTTGAAATGTTAAAGAGCAAAGATGTCATTCTGAGGACTAAGGTTCTCCTGACCAAAGCAGGTGAAAACAGGGCAATTAATAAGGAAAACCAAACTATCCCTGATGCTTTTCAATTATGGTTTTGGTGAAAAAAAAAAAAAACTAAATATTTTATGAACTGATAGAAGAACAAACAAATCTGTCTTTGGATAAATATAGTCAGACTTCTCTTTAAAGTAAGGATGATAAGACTACCTCACATACTTTGGACATTTTATAAGGAGGGATTAGTCTTTGGAGAAGGACATCATGCTTTGTAAAATAGAAGGTTGTTGAAAACAAGGAAGATAATCGATGAAATGAATTGAGAAACTGCAACAATGGGCTCAGACATGGTAATGATTCTGAGGCTGGTGCAGGACTGGACAGTGTTTTGTTCTATTGGACATAAGGTTGCTATGAGTTAGAACCAACTGCACGGTATATACTAGCAACAAATCGATGAAATTTTGGGTAGTAACAATTCTTAAATGACTCTGGAGCTAAGCGAGAGTCTAGATGATGCTATAAAATGAGGAAAGGTAAGTAACTTCATAGATGTTTAATCTCAAGACCCAATTTTCTAAAAGTAAGTAGTCATGATAGTGGCTTTTTTGTGTGAGACAACTTCACTTGACAGATCATTAGATACTTTTAAAATCCATGTTGTTTGGCTACCCAAAATGAGGGGTTTACAAAGGCAAGAAGTGACAGGCTTACAAGCTTTCAAGAGGGCGCCTAGATCCAGAGAGTGTGGAGGAAGGTAGAATCTCCACTGAGTAGTATCCAATCTGTCTGGGCTGGGCAGGGCTGATGAAAGGAGATGCAGATAGGTCTCTTGTGATACAATAGTGACTAATTATTATCAGGATTGACTGTGAGGGTTGGAAATGTAAAGGTAGACATTTTGGAATAAAAGGAGGGGAGTGATTAACTTTGCAGTCTAGGAGTGGAGGTCCCTGGGACCATCAAGGCAGAAGAGCAGAGAGCAGGACCCTACCCAGAGAAGCAGTGACACCACAGAGGGAGGCAGAGATGATGACATTGAGAGTTGGAGCAGTTGCGGACTCTAGACCCAGAGAGGGAGAAGGGCTGTGTGCTGACAACCCGGGGGCAGGCTTGTGGGTATACCCTTTGGTTGGTGGATGATGCATGGAAGGGACTGTAACCATGGCAATGAAATAATATACGATAGGATGAATGTAAAGCTAATATTCTCCCATGTAAACTATCACATAAGTCACAATAAAACATAAAAACAAACAAACAAACAAACAAGAAATCCATGTTGTGCCTTCTGTTCTTTATGTATATTCAGATTTATCTGTTTTTATGCCACCTGGTGTTGTGTTGAGGTGCAAAGTCAGTTTGAACTGCAAGGTCAGTGATACAAGCTCACCAACTACTCCTCGGAAACCCTATGCAGGGTCACTATAGGTTGGAACCGAGTCTACAGCACTTAACAACAACAACAACAACATGGCATCAAAACACATGTTTTCCTCATGAGTAAATTTTCAGATTTACCCATGATTATATACTGAAGTTGTAAGACCAGAACTTAGCTTTTCATATTTGGTAGAAGGCACAACTACAATTCTTTAAAAAGCAGCCACAACCATGAAAAGCCAACAAATATTCTTGTTTTGTAGTATCGGTATCATCAAAGCTTATTTTTCATTGGATTTGGGCTGTGAACCACAATGTCGACTGTTCAAACCTACCAGCTGTTCCTAAGAAACCCTATGCATGGTCACTATGAATCAGAACTGACTCGATGACACTTAACAACAGCAACAGTCTTCTATACAATTGGTATGAAATTCTTTGAGATCAATAAGATTCATCTTGCTTTTGAAAAGTTTCTTGGAAAGTAATTCTATTTACAATATCATTATTGTTAAGTGCCGTCGATTCGGTTCCGACCCATAGCGACCCTGAACAGGGTTTCCAAGGCTGTAAATCTTTATGGGAGCAGAAAGCCTCATCTTTCTCCTGCGAAGAAGCTGGTAGCTTTGAACTGCTGACCTTGTGGTTCACAGCCCGATTCGTAACCACTACGCTACCAGAGCTCCTTATTTACAATATAATCATTGTCTTTTAAAAATTTTAGTTAGCTTTAATAATTTGTATGGAGAATAAATTATTAGATACAATAACTCTGAAACGGGCTTCAGCATCTATTTATGGGGAAGATGGTTAATGTTCTCAACTGGTAACCAAAGGCTTGGAGGTTTGAGCCTACTGAGTTTACCCAGAGACGCCTTGGGAGTAAGACTTGGCAATCTATTTAAACAAAAAACAAATAACAACAACAAAAATCACTGAAAACCCTATATACTTATGCTCATCAAAAGAATTTTCCAGATAATAAAAAGAGAATGCAAAGAATTGGAAAAAATGCTTGGCAACAACATATCTGACTAGATCTAATCTTCAAAAGTTACAGAAAACACCATCTCAACAATGAAGAAAATCAAGTTAAAAACTGGCAAAGGACATGAACAGGCATTTTATAAAAGTACCTATTCAGGCAGCCAACAACTACATAAATAGGTGATTGTTAGCTATAGTTGCTGTTGTTGTTAAGTGCCTTGGAGTCAGCTCTGACTCATAGTGACCCTGAGTTTTTGAGGCTTATTAAATCTTCTAGGGAGCAGAAAGCCTCACGTTTATACATAGAGCAGCTCAACTGGAATCTGTCCAGTAGACATTTTGGTTAGCAGTCCAGTACTTATTATATGTTGTTGCTGTTAAGTGCCATTGATTTGGCTCTAACCCACAGTGACCCTGAATAGGGTTACCAAGGAGTAGCTGGTGAGCTTGAACTGCTGACCTTGCAGTTCAAAAGGCTTTGAAGTCTGGCGCATTAACCCACAGTGCCACACCAGGACTCCTTATCATATGGAGTGATGAAAATCGAAATTACAATGAGATACCGTCTCAGCCCAGCAATAATGTTGGTTAGGTGCCATGGATTTTGGTTATGACACAGAGCAACCCTATGCACAGCAGAATGAAGTGCTGACTGGTCCTATACAACTCTCACAGTTGTTATGCTTGAGCCTACTG